AAGCTGATGGTAGGATAAGCATTTGGGGTAGTGTTTTATTAACATATTTGTTAGTACTTGTTCATTGTAGAAATGTGTACTTGACTAAGACCACCACCACTTTTGTAGTTCAGCATATACAGGTTTTGTGTGTATTTAGCTTATTGTATTATTCCTGCACTTAGCTTAAAGTAAGGATTTAAAATTGCATTTAAGGGGATCATTGGATATTACTGTTTGTGAAACTGAATGTTTTGTGTGCTGCTTATAAACATTATCTATGAATCAGTACTTAGGAAAATTTTACTTTCTTAACCTATCAATATAAGGAATAAACTATGAAAAATTAAAAAGATTAATATTTGAATTTGACTGTGATTTATCAGCTTTTGTCCCCAATGTAATTCTAGCTGCTTAATATCACTAAAAACTTTTTTTCCATATTATTCTTTTAATGCTTCTGAATTGGTAATGAGATTCAAGATAGCTGGGCTGATCTTTTTATTTGAAAAAGTAAAAACCAGTTAAAAAGCAACTTTAGTCTAAACTGAAATCAAGACTGAGAGTGGAATAACAAAAGATCAATATCACTATTTTTGCTAGTCAGGGCCTACTTCATTCACCCTGAAGAAGGACCTGGTAGTAACTGCCGCTAGGCAAGTTATACTGGGTGCCTGTATTAGTCAGCTTGGGCTGCCATAACTAAATGTCAGACTGGGTGTCTTAAACAATGGAAATTTATTTTTTCACAGTTCTGGAGACTGGAAGCCTGGGATCAGGTGCCAACACGGTCAGGTTCTGGTGAGGATTCTTCCTGAATTGAGGATAGCTGCCTTCTCACTGTGTCCTCACGTGGCTGAGAGAGACCTCTGTTGTCTCTCCCTCTTATAAGGCCACAAGTTCTGTCAGATGAGGGTTCCACCCTTATGACCTCCTTTAACCTTATCACCACCTTAAAAGTCCTTTCTCCAATATAGTCAGATGGGGGTTAGGGGGACACAGTTCAGCTTATAGCAGTGCCATTAGTCTTACTATTTTGCTAATGATCCTGGCATTAAGTTTTTTATGGGACTTTGTATTCAAACTTTTAAAAGTTGGAATTGTTAGAACTTAACTCAAAAACAGCATAAGCAAAAAAAGAAAAAAAGAAAAAAAAATTATTGGCTTCTCCAACTGAAAGAAGGGAAAGAAAGGATGGAGTTGACTCCACAGTTGACTGGATCTAAGAACTTGAAGAGAATCAAGACTCTGCCCATCTTTATCCTAATTTTGGTTTTACACTCTTAGGAGTCTCATCATGTGTCAAAGGAGCATGATGGCTAGCAGTTCTAGGGTTCCATCCATACAACTCCTGATCAAGGGAGTTACTTTACTTCCTAATACAGAAGATTCCAAGCAAGGAGTGTGGTTGTCCTGGCTCTGGTCATTATTCTTGGGCCAGGAAGAAGTTGTACTGTAGCCTGGGTCTCATGCCCCACCTCTTTGGTGAAGGAGGGCTTGGAGTGGGGCTCGGAGCTAGGTACTACTATTAGCAAGACAGGG